ATCGGCATTGCTGTTGACTGGTTTGCCTCCAGAAAGTTTCCTCCAGCAGCGTCTGGCTGCTGCATGAGGATTTTGAGGAACGTTCCCCACATGCGTCCTGCTATTAAGGCCACCCCTCACCCACAGGAACCAAAGCTTGGGATCTGCGTCAGCCAGCCATCACCCAAACCACAGACCCTTTGCAAACCTCTCGCTTGGTGCACGGGTGTTTTTCTTCTTTTATTAGCCTCCTGTTGCTATGACACAGGATATTTCAGAGCAGGTGCTGGCCCATGCAAAATTCAAGAACAAAAATGCCAGCTTGGGCTCTCCCCCTGTGTTTGCAAATTGTCAAGGCACGGCCTTTATTCTGGAGGCTCTCCCCCTGCTCAGGGAGGTTGGCATAACAGCAGGACGCAATTTGGTTGTGCACCTTCACTGATTGCTGCTGAAAGGCTGAGGGTTATTTATTTATTTTTTTCCCCCAAGGTCTGCTCTTACAGCCTTGGGTATAAATTTCTTTCCATTTATTTGTCAAAGGCTCCGCTCTTGTGCTGTGTTTGGGCTGTCAGCGGTTGCCTTGAACATTTAGGTCAATCACAGATATTATTTCTGTCTCTGGTGCTGGCAGCTTCTTATCCTGGGCCTTCAGCTTTGTGTCTTGCCTATAAATAAAACACCATTCATTCTCAGCAGAGGGGGAAGAAACAGCAATGAGCCCAAAGTGCTGGTTTCCCAGGGAAGGGTGCTCATTTCAGATATCTCGACCCCTTAAAGAAGTATCAAACCCCACATTAAGCATCCCTGTTGCTTTAATAGGAACCTTGGAGAGAATTAGGGGGTTAAAAAACAGGCATTAGAGCTGCAGTGTGCACAAGTGTAGAGCGTGTATTTGCCGTGCATGTTTGGGCACTACATGGCAGGGGCTTGCACCTGGTGAATGAGGGAGGCAAAGCCGGAGCCTGAGGAGTGCAGAAACAACTGCATTTGCTCTGCTCCCTGCAGGTGCTGTTTAACACAAGGCTGATGTTCCCGAAGGCACTGAGCCCCCAGAAGTCTCACTAATCTAAAGACTTCAGGACCACGGTTCAGGTCAGTGAATGCCCTTACAGCTGGCAAATAGCAGTACCCTGGCCTGGTCTGCCTAAAGTCTGCTGAGACTTTTCCTCTGCAGCTAAGCATTTTGACAATAAACCAATAACAACGATAACTTCTACATATAACTACTAAACTGGAGTGTTTACCAGTGGAAGCAAGGTTGCTCAGCTCAGGTATTTTAGAAGAAGCCTTGCTGTTTAGAGGCAATAAATAGATGGTAATAAATAGATGGTAATTTGGGGTCCCATCATTCTGCAGCCAGTTGTTCTCGGGGGGCCGATGGATGCAGATGCCTCCTCTGACAGCCTACACTTGCACTGGTAAGTAGAAAAGGATGCTTTTTCGTAATCATTCTGCGTACAAACAAATTTGAAATATTGACTAGGGAAGGGAATTGGGAAAAATCTGCAAAAACTGCTAAAATACACATCAGGCAGGCTTCTATCACCACATTTTATTTGTACCCTAGAGCAGTAATGATTATAAGCTCTAGGTCTTTGTTTAATCTCTTACTTCCTTATGAGTGCATGCATATTGTTTTGTCATTTAATGGAGTCATTTTGCAAAGTGGATCTGGGGTATTTTCACAGAGGGTTTACATTGCACATGATTGACTGAGCTGATTCCATTCCAGACACTCACGTATCCCCCTGCTGCATAAATTGGAGCTGAGCACTCTTTATTTCCTTGCAAGGGAAATGAGCTCTGACGAATGGGGATGAGCTGAATATCACATTATTTGGGGGCTGAGGGAAGGGAGGGGGGCAAGAGAAGACATTTCTCTGGATTCGTGTGGTTCTGTCTCTTCTCACCATTTTTCTCCCCATGCAGGAATACTTCTTGTCTCCATTAAAATAATCTCCCAGACACCTGGCAGTTATTACATTAAGAGGTGATGGACTGCAACGCTCGTAAAAAAAAATGAAAATCTTCTGCTTTTTAAATTTCCAACCACGGTGGTGAAGTATGGGCCAAATTTTGGCAGGGGAGATCCTGGGAGAGCTACTGGCAAGGGCAAAGCATCCACTGGGTTGGTCCTGCAGCCTCCCTGCATCCCTGGTGCTCCTCAAGTTTTGCCTGGGCCAGCATGCCCCAACCAAACCCACAATGGGCCCTGGCTTGCCATACAGACACAGATTTCCTACTGACTGATGCTAAATCCATCACTGCGAGCCCCGGCTCTTTGTAACCAGGTTGTTCCCCCAAGTAATTAGTCCATATTTAATCATTGTCGAATATAAAAGGCAGGGACACATTGCAGTCATCCTCGCAAATCATCTTTTGTCCAGACGGCCCACAGAGTACACTGGAAACCTCATTAACAGATTGTGTCAATTAATTACCCGGTCCAGGAATCACTTCTGTGGCTGCCGAGAGCTGGCAGAGCAGAGCAGGGGCCAGGGGCGGCAGTGCTGGACATCGCTGGTGGCTTTTGGGGTGAAACTTTTCAATTTATTTTTTTTTGTCTAACCCCAGTCAGGCACCACTTGGGTTGAAGTGGGTTGGCTTTCCAAGCCATGCCAGCAGCAGGGAGCAGCTTTCTCATGGCCTCAGACTTACCCCCATCTGTGCAAAACCGCATTATTATTATTTTTTTCTTACCCCAAAGTAAGCAGATTAAAAGACAATTTTTTTCTCAGTCTAAAACTCAGCAGCTATTGATAAATTGGTAATGAATTTGTACTCGAGGCTATTAATTGCCTTGCAGATGTTTAGCCATAGGATTCCAGTGCAGAAGGGGATCAATAGATGTTGAGATTAAATTATCCGACTGTTTCAAACCCCAAATAATCACTGCCTGAGCTTGTTTAGTTTGGGCCCGAGACAAAAGTCAATTCCTTCCCTGTGGACATTTCTATAAAGTACAGTTGACATAAGAAACGATGAGACTCTGGAAAACGAGATTGAGCCATAAATATTCAGCTCTGCAGTGGATCCGAGAATAATAATTTAACTTTCTCTAATGCCCAGCTCTCAGAACGCTTAACAAACCCCCTATTCTTGGCAATCCTCAGCTGTTTAACAATTCAGAGCCTCTAATCCATAACTTGGGAGGGAAAAATGAAGATTTGGTTCGAATAAACCCCTAGCTGATAGAGTTAGAAGAGCTTCACTGTGGCATTTGCAATCAGCTGAAAAGAACAGAAAAGGCTGGAGACGAGTGCTCTGCCTGGAGGTATCTATAGCTACCCCGGATAAGCTCCCTGCCACTTTTTGCCTGCTTATACTTTACTATTTCCTAGCACGAGCATGCTCCCGCTGGCAGTTTCCCCCTCCTCCTTCTCACCTGAGCCTTTCTTGGCTCTTTTCAGCCCAAAATAAAGCATGGCAGCCCTCACCTGCTGCTTCAGTGGGCAGGGTGGGACCTTCCCCATCCAGCTGCTGACAGAGGGGCATGTGGCACCCATTGCCTGTGCAGCTCTGTGCAGGAGCCACATGTGGTTTTTCACCCAAACGAGGCAAATTTCCACCCAGGAGACCTGCCCCATGTGCACGGTGGGGAGGGTCCCGTGGCAAACCCCTAGCAGGAGCAGGGCTTGGAGGCAGCTCTCCTCCTCCCCCAGAAATGCTCCTTGGCCGTGGTTCTCTGCTGTTTCACAGCTGTATCCCTGCCCCTCGCAGGGATAACGTGTTGGGGGCTCTCTGCTGAGCCCCCTCCCAGTCTTCCCAGCACCTCTTCCCTCCGCTCCTCTCTGGTAAGGGCTTGGGAGTTGTTATAGCAACCTCGGCGTGGTTAAGTCTCTAGAGGAAAGGTTTATAGGGAGAGGCAATATCTTTTATTAGACTGGCTGATCCAGCTGAAAGAGAAAAAGGAAAAAATAATAATAAGTGTGTGAGAGAGCAGCTCTGGCTCGATGCTGGTCCCCAGAGCTCTGGGCAGGGGAGAAGGAGGCAGATACAGAGGAGAGAAGGGGACACATGGGGACATGCCCAAGCACAGCTGGTGGCAAAAATTTGGGCTTTTCAAGGGAAAAGCAGCAATTTGGTGGGAAATTAGTCCCATATTCAGTGCTGGCTCTTCCTGTCAAACACCAACATTTTGCTGCTTTGCCCTCACTGGGAGAGCAGCCACAGCAGCATCACAGCATCCATCCTTCTGTCCATCTGTTCATCCACCCATCCAGTCCTCTCTGGGTACCCTGTCCATCTGACCTATCAAAGGCAGTGGAAAACACTCCAGAGAAGCCATCAGCATGACAGTCCCTCAGTCGCCTTATTTCCAGGCTTCTGGAAATCCCCAGCCTTGATCCTGACCCCAGCCCCTCTCCTGTGCCCGCTGCCTCTTCCCCAGCACACCTCCAGCAGCACCCGGTATCTCCTTGTCCCGGTCCCACCTGGCAGCTCCTGTTTGCTCAGGGTCAGATCTCTGGCACCCATCAAGCACAAACTGCTTGTTTCAGGCCCCTCCTCACTCAGGCAGACTGCACTCCTGATGTTTGCACACCTCCATCAGTCATCGCGGTGTTCTGGACAAAGCCCACATCCTAACACAGAGCTGGGATTCACCTGGATGGTGGCTCCTTGCTGGGAAGTCTGTGATGCAGACTGTCAGCTTTCAGTTACATTTATGGCTTGATGATGATTTTATACAAACACATAGCTCGGGGCATAAAGCTCTGCATGCACTGATGTAAAGGCTCTTGTCTTTCTGCCTGGCATTTCCAATCTCCAGCAGTGCCCGAGTGGAAAGTCACCTTTCATCCTGCATATTCTTTTCTGTTTAACCAGGCCCTTGTAACCTGCTGAACAGAAAAAAACAGATCAGGCAGTAACTCACAGCCTGTCAGCTGAAGAATACACAAATTCATAAAAAAGAAGTAGAAGGATCCTGTATTTATATATTTATTTATTTATTTTGCCAGAAGAGGGGTAGTTGCACAAGTATAGCTGAGGCAGTGCAAGTCTTCCTCTCTTTTAATAGCTGTTCACAGCAAATCACAGGCATCTTCTCCTTCTTTGTAAGAAGTGAAACCCCCAGCATCCTTCCACATGTGCATGGAGCAGAAATACCAGAAGAGGCCAAGGGGACAGAGGAGCTGCTGCCCCCAGGTAAGTCTCCAAGAGTCAGAGAGGACAGGAGCAGCATGGATGGGTACATTAGGGTATCTCAGCACCTTAAAGCAGGCTGGAAGAGATGTCAGGACAGCCCCCATGAGTTAGAGGCTCAGCCCTTGGTAGCCACTGAAGAGCTTTCTGAGGCATCAAGAACTTTCCCCTTAGTCACGGGAACTGAAGGGAGGATGACATTATATCCCGAGGGGAAGGTAGCAGTTTCTCAGCATTGCATCTCCTCCTCCTCCCGTGTGCTGCTGCCCGCAGGATGTATGGCACTGCCCTGTGCTGCTGCCATCTAATCGGATCAAGCTGCCTCTGATTACATCCAGGGAGCTGATAAACAGCGTGGCTGAAAGCCACTCGCCCATTACGACCCAAGTGGCTCTTGCTGCAGGGAGTTAATTAGAGCCAAGAATATAGAGATTTTTTATTTTTATTTTTTATTTATTTTTTTTTGCTGCTGTGGAACTTGCCTTCTGGGGGAGCTGGAGGCATCGGTCTGAGCGGAGACAATCTGAGGAACCTGTACAGATCTGTTGCCATTTAGGAGTATAGTTACTACTGCAGTACCAATAAGCTGTGAAGCTGAAATGGGAAGCCCAATTCAGGGCCTGCCCAGAAATTTTCACTTAAGCTGGCCCTGTTAGAGTATGTTGGCTCCTTGGCACTAATATTTTGGCAGAAGTTCATGGTTTCAACTATTTTTTTTTTTTCCTGCAAGAGTTTCAGTGTTTTGTTTTGTTTTGTTTTGTTTTTTTTTTTTTTTTTCAACAAGGGCAAGAGAGGCAGAAGAAACTACAAGAGTCCATCACAGGGAATATACACATCCCCTGGAAGCTGGGAACAAAGGATCTCGAAATTAGCAGACCAAAGAAGCAAACCTGTATCTCTTCCTACTCACGGACTGCTAAACTTTGTTAATTTGAAGTCAGCCTCTGAGTTTCTTCTTCTTTTTTTATTTGTTGGTGCAGCCGGGGTACAATCAGCCCCAGGTTAGCCCATCTGCGAATAAAGGGACAAGCTGAAGCTCAGAGATAGGCAGACACTAAATGATAGCTGTGTCTCCCAGGGACCGAGCTATACAGACCTTAATGGTGCTTTACCCCCCTGCTTAGTACAGCAGCCAAAGTGAGCAGTGCACCCTCAAGACTGCTCTTTTTTCTCATTGCTACCTCCTAATTTCCACCTTCTGGAGCAGTAAATGGTCTTTGTGAAAATAGATTCAAGCCCATAAGCCTTAAACAAGGCTCTGGAGCGAGGGGAATTAATTGGAAAATGATTGAAGGCTATTAGAGGGCTTTGCGTGACTTTGTTTAAGGGTGGAAGGCTGCAAATGGCAGGCAGAGCCACTGAGCCTCCTCCTTCTGCCCATCCAGGAGCAGAAGCTCCCCCTGATTTTGCCTCCTGGCCCCACAAAGCAGGCTTGGGGAGGGCTGGAGGGCTGTGTCATCCATCAGGGTGCTGTTTGCCACCTCTGCTCCCATGGGATGGGCATCGCTTCCATCTGTCGTGCTGTCACTCCTGGCAGGGTACAGATGAACCTCGATCCCGTCACTGCCGCCCTCCTCCTGCGCTGCCTCACGGAGCGTAAAAGAAGAGGAATCTCTGCCCTTATCACTGCAGGCTCTGCTCTTTTACCGACAGAGATCCGTGCCTGCAAAATGCCAAGCGGTCGCGTCAGGTCCCCTGGCCTGCCCGGAGCCGTGCTGGCTCGGCAGGGCCTGTAATTGCTGTTCCAGGCAGCTGCTGCCCTAAGATGGGAGCACTGACTCCCTTCTCCCACCCCACTGCTGCTTATTCCTGCTCAGGATCTCGGGCCCCAGCTCCCAGCCCTTTTCCTATGTCACAAAACCCCAGGGGCCTGCATCCAAGGGGCTCTTAAAACCACAGGGATGTGGGGAGGACGAGGTGAGCCCCTGGCACTCTTCCTCCACCTGCAGTTAGGTATTTCAGGAGGATAATGAGGCAAAACACCTCACCCCAGCCGCTCTTTCTCCTTTTCTCTCCCGGTGAATGCACTTTGCACCTGCTCATTAGCGAACGTGCTCCATCCTCATCGACCCGGGCTGCTGCGGAGCTGCTCCTCGGCTGCCTGCTCAGCGCCAGAGCCTGGTTAATAATTACGGCCGTGACTCACCCCGCTCCATGCTGCTGGAGCGCCATTAAGGGAATTGACAGCACAAATAACAGAAGCATTAAGCCTAATGACGGCGCGAGCCTTAGCCCTGCTCAAGTGCTGCTGGTGTCAAGGGAGAGGAGCCTTTCCCTTTGGCAATTGTCCCTCCCGGGGGGCATCTCCTGCCCTGCCCCGCAGGGAAAAGGGAGCCTGGGGCTCCTTTGGGATGTGACAGCTCCGGTGTGATGCACACACACTTCTCTGTGTGCCACCTGTGCAGCAAATCACCCACGTTTCAGAATATCCCTGTTCCAGATTTGCAAACCCTCAGTATCCACAGCTTCAGCCTGCTCCTGCAGCTCCACACCAGCAAGTTGCTGTCTTCCTCCCAGCCTCCTCCTCCAACTTTCCTGAATCATCCAGAAAATGCCTCATTTTTGACCCACTTCCCTGGGTTTCCTTTGCTCTTGCGCAGTGCCAGAGGGATGCCCAGCCCCTCGCTGACGATGGATGCCAACTGCCCCCTCTGGGTGCTGCTGTCTCCAGCACAGTCACGTTCAAGCATGGCCCAAACCCTTTGAATTGGTTTTCCCCGGTGGCTGCACTCACCTTCCAGGTGGCAGAGTTTTGCCCCAAAAATCTCTGGCCAGGTCTTCTCCCCACCAAAAATCCCTGGCCAGACCTGACGAGCAGCGTTTGGCTGTCATTCAGCTGCAGCACACCAAAATTCCACCAGCAAGGTATTTCACATGAATTTCTGCCAATTTACGCTCATTTTTTCACTGATTTTTAGTTCTTGGGACTGGGTTTAATATTTCCCAAATTAGCTATAAATGACATACCCAAGAGTCATGAAGCAATGTAGATGAACAGAACGCCACAAAGCACCTGATAGCTTTCACCTGACTTGGCTTCGGCATAGCTATCCCTGCTATTATCTCCCCAAAGCCAAACTTTCCCCGAAATAGCCATTTCCTTTTCTTTTAAAAGGAAAATTCAATTTATCTTCTCTTTTTTTAGCCAATCCCTCCTCCTTGCCTTCATTGCCACAAATTCCCTAATCTTGTTATTCTTGGGTGTTGGAAGAGAGTAATCATCTCAGCCATGAAATCGAAGACAACAGCAGTACTTCCAGGGAGGTGACTTCAGTCAGAGGAATTAATTCTCCCGGCAGACAGCTCCTCTTTAGAACAAATGCGAGTTTAAGACTCAAAGTCATGTTTTTAATGAGGCTGCATGAAAATATACGTGGCTCGGAGCTCTGGGGAAATTCAGTGTTGTGCCGGAGAAATGCATCACGCCAGGAAAACAAAACGAGCGGGATTGTTTCTCCGTCTCCTGCAGAGAGAGCTCGTCCCTGCTTCCCTTCCCCAGCACCTTGGGGACTGCTGACCTGAACGAGGGGCTCTGCAGGCTTTGATTGAGGGTTGGATGTGGCCCCCCAACTGGATAAAGCACCGGCTGCTGGAGGAGGGAGAGGGGGGAACAGCTCCAGCATCGTGTTTGCCCGGCTCAGCTGGCGATAAGGAGATAAACCATAGATCATCCCGATTTCTCATACCAAGATAACAACGGAGGAGGATTTGTCTCCAAGAGAAGTGTCTTTTCTGCCTCGTGTGCCAGCAAGAGAAATAATTTCCCTGACTTTATAGCAAACTTCGTCAGATAGGCTTCTGGCACCAGGCCAGAGAGCTGCATGCAAAGCTCTGTTCCCCGGCACAGCAGGTTAACGCCAGAAACCCAGGCAAAGGTTTCAGCAGGAGAGACCCCCTGCGATGGCTTTGGAAGCGTGTACAGGTCCCTGGAGGCACAGGTTATTAAAAGCCCTGGTGGAGAGGTCTGGCGCTTGGAACCTGATGGGAGCAGGGGGTCTGGGAAGGGACCACAGCCCTAAAGCTGGCCTAGAAGTTTGGTCTCCACATGGAGGCAGAGCCCAGCACTATCTTATTTTAGGTGTAGCCTAGAGGATTGGGTAGCAGAGAAATTATCAAGTGACTGGATCAGAAATTTCTTCTGGAACCTGGGCTATTTTTTGCCTGGCAAAAGCATCACAAGCCAGTGTCTTCTCAGGGCAGGCCAATTTCAAGAAATCATTTTTTTTTTCCTGATGAAAATTTGCTCCCTGGAAAAACTCCTGGGGACTCTTTATATTCAAGGATGCCCTTAGAAAATGTAATCTGCCCTGCCAGCCCTGGCACCCTCTGTGCTCTGAGAATTCAAAGCCATGTCAGCGTGTGCGGGTCCCACGGCGAGAGGCTGACTGTGATTGCAAGTAGCAGGAGATCTGCTGATGGAAACGGCAAAATCTCCTCTCCACAGACATCATAAATTAGACTGAACAGAGCCGTGGAAACAAGCCTGTAAGGAACAATCCCCACTGACTAACCCTGATGGCCCAGCTGCCTTCTACAGCCTGAGCCCTGGTCCCCTCCTCATTGAGGCTCTGCAGGGGTGGCAGTGGGGCAGTTGCCGGTGTCTGAGGGTCCCTCCCGTGGATGCTGACAGCTTCTGGCAGCTGGAGAAAAGCAGCCTTTCAGCCTCTAAGTTGAGCACATTTGCTATGGGCTCACCGAGGACTAATGGCATAAAAGCTCAGTTACGTATTTAAGAGGGACTTTGCACATGGAGGCTTCGCATTTTTATGGATATTTCTGCATTTTCATGGAGTTTTTTTCCCTCTTCCAATTCTTTTCCCAGGGAAAAACATCCTACTTCTTGCCCAAGAGGGATCTGGCAGGTTTGAAAGTTTTCTGTGGGCTCCTGGAAATCTGCTACAAATATAAAATATTTTGGGGGTAGAAATTGTCTGGAGGTATCTCAGTGTGAAGACATCGCTGGCACAGGGATAACAGGCAATTAACTAGTCATGAATAAATTGAAGTTGGACTCAATGATTCTTGTGGGTCCCTTCCAACTCAGGATACTCTATGATTCTATAAATTTGGGCTGAGAACCAGGAAAGCTAGTTAGATTCCATGTTACATTTCTGCTTTATTCTTCTAGGTGGAGAGAGAAGCTCATGGTTGGGGTTGGTGCTGGGCAGGTGCTGCAGCAGGAACGGGCCGGGGGCAGGTTCAGGAGAGCAGCAGCAGCTTTTCTCTCTGCTCCTACTTTTAAAAGAGAAAAGCCCTTCTGGGAAGTTCTTTCCAATGGCCAAAACAAATCCTTCCTGAAGGGAGCGGGTTCTCATTTTACACATGCTGGCAGAGCAGCCTTCTTAGCCAGTTCATTTCCCAGGCCTCTAACCAGCCAGCCTGCCTGGCACGGAGAGATTCCCTCTCATTTCAGATCACTTGGCTGCACATTGGAGGGAAGCCCTTTGACAGGGCGCATTTGCAAGGCTCTCAAATCCTCTTTATTCTTGCTGTGCTCTCTCCTTGCCTCATCTCCAAGAGACCACGCTGGGCTAAGCCCAGAAGGAGCCCAGAAAGGTGATGGCACCAGCCCTACACCCAGACATGCACAGATGCAGCTTCTACCCCTTCCCACACCACAAACAAAACACCTCCCGTATCCAGGATGGGAGAGGATCAGCTAAAATACCCTGGCCCCTTTTCCACTGCCAGAGAAGCTGAATTCAGAACAGGTAACACGAACTTTTAGGGATACTTTTTCCTTGAAAGTAATTGTGCTGGCTAGAAAATCAAGCAGGTGAGTGTGGAGCATGAGGCCAAATGAATGCATCCAGCCATGGGGAGCACACACACAGTCCTGGGGAAAGGGAGGTTGCAGTGGTAGACTAAAAGAGCAGCCAGGCCCAATGCTCACTGAGTGCAATTCTTTTAATGGGTCTGCCTTTTCTAAATTCCACATTGCACATACATAAATAGTGATTAAAAAAAAAAAAAAAAAAAAAAAAGACTCTCACACCAGAAACTGACTCAGAGCACAAGAAACGCTCCTCGTTTCAAGACACAAGAAGAAGGCACGAGATTCACAATAACATCAGTCACAGCCCATCACAGAGGCAGACAGACAGACAGACATGGAAATCCCGAAAGACAGAAAAAGGACAAAGCAGGGCAGTTATGCTTCAGGAGGAAGGTATCAGATGTTCCTGTGCTGGTCGGGGTCACAGCTCGGCATAGAGACCCACCACACCAGGGCATCGCCGTCCTGCTGGTCCTATGCCTCTGCTCGCCCGGGCGCTGTCCCTGCTTCTTGGTGTCCCCTGGGTCCCAAGGGTGTCAGGTCCCAGAGCAACACCAGAATTAAGGAGGCCTGCGTGTGCAGCACAGCATGTGCCAGGTGTCCCAGGGCTGTCTGATGCCACAGTGCAAGGGAGAATCGCTCTGAGCTCCTAGCTGGCCCTCAGCGTCCTGCACCTGTCCCCATTCCTGCCAAAGGAGCCTTGTGTTGTATTGTCATTGCATGATCCATCACTGGTAGCGTTTCATGGTGCAGTTGTCACAAGGAGTCACTCCAGCACACGTACTCCAGACTTAGTTTTCAAGCCTTTGGTGAGCAGATGGTTAATTTGTACGGTTACCACTCGATTTTACTATTTTTTTGCCTCCAAGTGCTCAAAGAAAAGCGCTGCAACACCTGTATTCACACGGGCAATGCCTCCAAAGGACTTCCAGGGTGTTGTCAGCTATTCCAAAAGGCTGGTGAGCCAGCAGCTGGGAGCCAAACACAGAGCAGCAACCTGTTCCGTTTAATTGCTAGCGCAATCACCAGCAGGCAAAAAACACGGGAGCCTTTTGTTCAGTACAGCAGTTCCCACGTGCCAAAGGGGAGCTGGTGCTGGAAGCAGAGATCGCCCATGAAAATGAGCTCTAAAGGGGATCACAAAGAGATCAGACCAGACAGACCCGTCCACCTTCAAGCAGCCTCCAGATTCAGGTGTGCTGATACGAGCCCTGCTGCTTGGCAATGTGCTCAGCTTCAAAGCGGCTCTGTGGAGCTGGGAGCAGTTATTTTCCCTCCTGCACAGGCAGGCAGCTGAGCAGCAGTACGATTAAACCACTTGCCCAGGACCTGGAGGCTGTAGCATAGATGTGAACCCACATCTTCCAAAGACAAGTCCCTCTCCTGGGTTTGCTCCTGCCCCTTCCAGCCAACAGGGCAGCCCTGCTAAAATCACTCTGGTGTCACAAGTCAGTCTCTGGTATAGAAGCAGATGCTCAAGGCAGCAAACTGTTGCAGCATTCAAGCCAGAGTTTTTCTTCCCTCTCATCAAGGCATGAAATTCAACCTCATCCTCCCCAAGCCCATGAAGGGGACATCAGCTCCCCAGACAACCAGGACACCCTGTGCATGGCCTGTACAGCAGCGTGGCTCTTCTGGCCAGCCTCTCCGTGTCCCCAGGTGCCATCCCTTAATCCCACATATCAGCCATCTCCCCTTCATCCCTCACACCTCTCCATACACCTGCTGGTTAAAGCCTCAGGGCTGAATGGGGTGCTGGCCAAGCTGGGAACTATTACCTCTCTCTGTCTACAGGAGATGTGAAGTACCACAGGAAATAGATGACAGAAAGAAACATGACAAAGACCCCAGAAAACCTGAGTGGTGTGGGGAGGCACGGGCTGTTTGCTGGCCTTTCTAATTTGGGAGCTTCGGGGTATCAAGGAGAATTAGTAGGGTGCAGGCTGAAAATAAAACAAAGGCAGAGATGTTTACGGCCTCTCATTAAGCTGTACAACTCCATGCTGCAGGAGCACAAATGATAAAAGCTGACAGACAAGGAGTAAAAGAAGAAGAAAAAAAATCAATTCAGGGCTACTAAACACAGGCACCACTTCCAGCTCAGGAAGCTCCCAAGCGCCTTGGTTGGAGGCTGGGAGGGCAGTCTGGACAAGCAATATCTGTGTTTTATTCCGGTGCCTTTGCCTTGAACAGCTCTTTAGGAATTCTCTTCTTCAAACTCATCCCATTGCTTCGCAAGCCCAGGAACACCCTTAGCAGCTGGTTTCCTGCAGCAAGGAGTTCCACACTGACTGCCCACTGTGCAGTGGGTCCGGCAGGCATGTCAAGAAAGAGATAATCAACACCTTCCAGCATAGATATACTGAAGCCCATACAATTATTAGTCCCCTGCCCCAAGCTGATGTGTCCCAGGCCAGCCTTCCATAAGATGATGGAAAGGAAGATGCCTCCCCGCAGCACTCAGGATGTAATCATTACGCAAAGATTTCATTTGCAGGCTCTCCCAGCCTCCGGTTACCCCGGGAGCTTGTCCCCAAGAATTTGGCCCTGCTGACCTCCCAGTATACACACTGCACTGAGCAGCACCACTGCAGCCCAGCACGACTAAAACTAGAGGAAAATGCCAGTGCTAATTGTGATCCCTGTGATTCATCGTCTCTTATCATGGATGGTAAAGTCACCCAACTCAAGGAGAAATGGGGTAAGGATTTTCAGAGGAGGGGAGATTGTTTCACACTGCTTTTTTCAACAGTAAACACAGATATTTTGTCCCTACTGCCAAAAAGCCTGGCTCTAAAATGCTGAAATCTTCTTGTGACTGAGTGGCAGCACGCTGTAATTTACTGCATTCCTGCTCCCATTACATTCAAGAATTGCTTCACTTCAGGAAAAAAAAAAAAAAAGGAAAAAAGAGCTGTCATTTTTCAGCACCCTGTGTAGCCCCTCCTTCAGCCATCACGTTTCCACCTTCTGCTAGACAAATTAATTCATTCTCCTTGTCCTCTCTGCTCCCCAAAAAGCTGTTTTTTTCCCAAGAACTTTTCAATTCGTCCTTTCACAGCAACATCATTAGCAATTTTCTTTGTGAAGCCAAGTAACGGGCACGCTCCTTTCAGCAAAAATCCGGAGTTTTCCTGCTGTGGCATCCCTCTTCCTTAAATTGGTTTAGAGAAGCCTGTCTGCTGGCTTTCCACAAGCACCTCAGCCTCAGACTCCAGCCCACCCATTGCAGCGTCTGGCTGGCTGCTGGTAAAAGCTCTGCCCGGGTTTAGGATGCGGCCAGGTCCCTGGGCAAGTTGAGCTGTATCGCCTCTCCTCCCGTCGTGTACTTGGCCACCGGCCCGTTGCCCTCCATGGTGAAGAGCTTGCAAGTCTTCGTGCTCTCGTGCACCGGCGTGGACTTCTTGGAGGAGATGGGGGAGTTGGTGGGGCTCAGCTGGACGGCGGTGGTGTCCTGCACCGTGTGCTCGCTCGTTTCGATTTCAAAGGCCGTGTTGCCGGGTTTGATGAGACCAATGTTGGATCCCGGCTTGGATTTTCTGGCCCCGTGAGCTGGCGGCCTCCGGCTGCAGATGCAGCAGGCCCCGAAGAAGGTGAAGGCCACCACCAGCAAGATGGGCCCGATGATGATGGGGGGATTGTTCACGGGGAGGAAGGTCCCGAACGCGAACGCTCCCACTAACGTGATGTTGATCCCTGCCAGCATGATGCAAAGTCCACACGCGCAGCAGAGAGCAGGGGAGGGAAGGCCCTGAGGTCGTGTCTTCTTCTGGATGGGTTTTTGGGTCAAAGAGGCGCTGCTCTTTTCGCTGAACATGTTGAGGCGAGTCTCAGAGGTCACTTCAGTCCTCGCAGGTCACACACTGTGCTGAGAAGGCTGCTGCTGGTCTCCTGCTACCTTGAAATCCCTGGAGAAGAGAAGAGCATGCGGCTGTTAGAGCAACAAACCAAAGGCACCTTTCCGCCACCACCCAAGGTGACCAGCATTGCCTCCAAGTCTGCCGGTACCAACAGCTAAGCAAAAATCCAGGCCTGCTCTCAAGTCTGGGCTCTCCCAGGCCTTGTTCATACACAGCCAGCTCAGGCTGGAGCACTGAGGTCAGTGCGTTCAATGCCTTCAGCCATCCAGATGGATGCAGCATGACTGAATCCGAGCACGCAATGCCCTGGGGCCTAGACCTTGGCCCTGCCTCCAGCCTGAGCCCCAGCAGAGCAGTGCAGCTGTGTGGCTGAGCAGACAGACCCACATCATCAGCTCAGACGAGGTTCACACAGGCCTGGGACCTGCTGCCTACTTCTCTTGACTCCTCTCCGCCCACTCTTCCCTTAAAACACAGCTTCTTCAGCTGTATTTGTTGTCCATTCGGGCGGCAGCTGGTCTCACAGCGCTAGTCATGGCCCAGACAATATGGATCTCATACATCACACCACGCTGAGTGTGATCACAGGAGATCATGCAGAAGGGCCAAGGGAGCCTGTCTGCCTCAGCAGGTGTAAACTCAAACTTGTGCAAAGCTCCTGCACAAGCAGATGGAGCTGGGAGAGATCCTGTGTGGGGACCTACCCTTTCCTAGGACACACAGCCCTGGCTGACCAGAGCAGCTTGTCCATGGCCGAGGTTATTGGACATGATAGGAGCTGGCTTTTTGTTCACTGAACTTCACTGGGAAGCCAAATTGCCAGAAGCCAAATTGCCAGCAGTTTGCTGGTGATGCCTTTGATTTTACAGGCAGGAGAGCAATTCTCTCCCCAGCCTGACTGCAAACAGCAGCAGTCTGCTCTCTCGTACTCCCCTGCCTGGCTCCCTAGCTTCTTCCCGCTTCTGTTGTCAAATATTTCATAAGGGGAAAACAGATACCATGCAGATTTCTACTGAAAGAGCCAAAAATCACTGTTGTGCTATTAACACTGCAGCCACTAAATTAACATCCCTCACCCATCACCCTGAAACACGCCAGTGGGATCAGCCGGCCGTTTCCAACATGCTTCCCAGGGTATAAAATTTTCCCATACCTCCAGCTGAGGCAAAGCTCTCTCTGCTGCTCTCTCCAGTGTCACGTCTCATTGCCTTTGCTCGGGCTTTTGTTCAGACCTGAATGAAGTGCAGCAGTGAACTTCCAGTGAAGTTTCTGTTGAGTGAGACATCAGCTGGAGCTGACAGGCACGGATGCACTGAAGGATTCAATTCTTCCTCATCTGGGGATGTCTGTCTAGGGAAGCCTCTCTGCAGGCAAAGATTTTTTCAGAACAGACAATGTGCAGGAGAGAAAGGGCATTTTCTCCATTAGCCGGGCTAACAATATGGATGTTTTTCCAGCAGTGTCCTTTTATTCTGCCTGGGAACCTCGGCACGCTGATGTGAGCTGGAGCCCTGATTCCGCTTCTTCCACCAGCCCTGGAACAGCAGCAAGACAGCTCCCGGTTAAACACACACACGTTAAATCACATCACAGATTTTTTCTGTAAAGTTTGCTCCCTCCTCAGCTTCCACCCTGCAAGAATCCCCGCTCCTGGGGAGCCAGGCAGCTATCGTGTGCCAAGCCCTAACAGGATGAACAAACACACCGGCTGCCTCTGCTCCTAGGCAAGCCAGAGACCAGAGGGCATGTTCCCTCTGAGATTTTCCAGAGGAGCTTCTACCGGGTACCCATCACATCTGTCACCTGCAATTACTCCAAGAGGACCGTGCTGGGTTCTGGATGCTTTCAAGGCTGCAGTGATAACAGCCAGCACAGACCCTGGTAGCTCTTTTTCCCTGCCTGACACCACTCATCACCAGGAGGGCAGGGAGTTAAGCTGGGGTAAAATCCTTCCATATCAGGATGTAACAGGGGAGGACAAGGAGGCTTGTTCAGGCACCGTTAGTGATAACAAATCAGGGCAGCCTGTCCCAAGGACAATTCACTCCAGCAGGTAAAAGAAAACCACATATCCACTCTGGAAGGATAAATGATGTTATACAGCAGGGCTCCGGGTGGGTGCTGCTACCATCAGCTTTTCCCAGACATTCATGAATGTTTCCCAGAAGGAGGGAGGGGATCATATCTACAGAAATAGGGCCGTGGCACACGCTGGAGAAGGATGGAGACCCTTCACCCTGCAGCTGGCACAGGCAGTGTTCCCTCCTCGGGTCAGCCTAGGACAGGCAGAGAGCTCTGGGGCTGTGCCAAGGGGTTGGCCAGGCACTGGCAGCTACCTGCCTGCTGGCAGGGGACGAGGGAAGACACAAAGTTTGGAGATGGACTGCTGCAGTGGAAGCAGGGATGGGTAGCTTGCCAGAAGCCATCGCTCTAGGAGGCCCATTGGGATGGGCGTCTGGGAACACGTCAGTAGCAGCCTGCACAAAAGGTCAGAGACCAGAGCAGGCAGTGTGGGAAAAAAAAGGAAAAAGAAAAAAATATATATATAAACAAAAATCTGGGCTTCTGGAGTTGCATCTGTGGTTGTCAAACCTGGATTCTGTAAGTTCAAAGAGCCAGTCCTAACACAAGAGCAATGACAGTCCAGAGCAGAGCTGTAAAAACGTGAATCCAAGCACTTGTACCATGCACACTTGGGTGAGGAATAAAAGCACATGGGGGTGACTGAGGGACCAAGCCACCAGGCACACCGGATGGCATGAAAGAAAAGCACAGGGAGCCAAATCCCACTCATTGGTGTTACTTGTATGGAGACGTACCCACCCAGAACCATCACACAGAGATAGTTGGAATGGTCAGAAATAGAGGCAGGGGCTGAGATCTCAAACTGTGCAAGCAGTGCTGGAGCTTGTACACAGAAGGGATTCCAAAACTCTGGGAAACCAGAGGAAACGGGGATGAGAAAGCCAGCAGAGCAGTAGAGGATGAAGCAAAAACCAACTAAAGTCACAGGATGCCTTACATCGTCCTCTAAGCAATAAGACCCTGCAACACAAAGCCCGTCCTTGTACTGATGGCCACATACAACAGAAGCATCTTAACTCTCCTGAAGCCTGTCATCTCCTAGAGCACGGGCTGATGCTGTGGGGAGAGGGGTCCCTCTCCATCCCCCTGCAGTCACAGGAATTCACGAGTGGGGGGCTGTTCCCACTGCTGATATCGGGCAGTTTTTACCTTCCTACTTCCACTTTTACCAAGTTAACCAGCTCAGAAATGAGCAACTTTCTTTCCAGCCAAATTATCCTGTCCAGAATGACAAGTCTCCTTTCCATTAGGAGAGGGAAAAGTTTTCTTTGAGCTGCATGAAACAGGTTCTTTTCTTATCATCTAGAATCTAGTTGTGCTTTTTTTTTTCTCCAAATGTTTCAGCTCAAAATGCATTAGTGTCAAGGGGGAAAAAAAAAAAAAAAAGGAAAAGGAAAAAAAGCTGCATATGCAAGCCTGTGTAATGGAAATCCAGAGGACACAGCGATTCCTTCCAGGGGAATATTCACCCCTCTCTGTATTCTCAGGGGCCAAACAGAGACTTTTATTCCTAGCTCTGAGAGTTCCTAGAGCTCCAAGGACGTGCTGACAGACTCGGCCAGCATTTTAGGAGCATCCCTTAAAGCCATGCCAGCAGCACCAGGATCACCCACCGCTAACCACGCTTCCCTCGTAGTTGCAGTGAGGGGGATCGAGCTGTCACCCATCCACACCACCTCACCAGGGCAGAACCACCGAAATATTTGAAGCCCATCAGCAAGCCTCCTTCCCAGGGGTGCGACGGCACCACGGAAAAACCCCAGCGAGCAGCAAGCAGCAACTGCAGCCAGACAGCTCCCACCACCCCAGCGCCCAGACAGCCTCCCATACAGAGCCGCAGGCAGTTTTGGGGGGAGAAACATCGGACTTTTCCCCGGGCAGAGCTCCGGGAAAGTCCCCGGCAGTGCCAGGGGGAGCTTGGATGCTTACCTGGGTTGGAGCCGGAGGGAGTGGGTGCCCCGGGTATCCCCTGCAGCGACGGCTCTGCGGTGCCCGAGGCTCTCACTTGCCTCCTTCTCTCTCCTCGGCAAACTTTCCTCGGGTGCCACCAGAGCCCCCCGGAGGGCTCAGCAGGCTCTGGGCGAGCTCAGACACCTCCTCCCCTTTTCCCTCCTTCCCCTCGGAGGATGCTGTCCTCCTCCTCCTCCTCCTCCTCCTCCTCCGGCGGGGCTCAGCCGCAGCATCGCATCCTCCCCTGCCTCCTCTTCCTCCCTGCGGCGGGCAGCGCCGCCCGGCAGGCTCGCAGCCTCTCCCCCCGCCTTCTTTTTTAGTCCTCCTTTTCTACTTCCAGGCTGCAGCTCCCGCCCCCTGGGGTGCCCGAGGCTCAGCAGCCCCTTCCCCGGCAGAGGAAGCCCCCGGGCGGCCTCCGCTAGGGGCAGCCCCGAGCCCCCCCCAGACCGCTGCGCAGAACAAAGCCGCGGTACCAGGGGGTGGGGGGACAAAACAGGGGGACACCCCCGGCCGGGAATTGGCCTCCGGGGGTGAAGAGCACGGGGGCAGGGGGCTCTCGGTCGCTGCTGGCAGGGTGGTGAGGGGCTGGGGGCGAGAGTTGGAAATGGAAGGAGAAAACAGCGCCCCGAGGGATGCTGGAGTAACTGGGGGGGTGCTGAGACAGGACCTCCGAGGGGTGGACGTGCTCAGGGTGTAAGAGCTGGAGAGTTCAGAGAAGAAAAAAAAAAAAAAAAAAAAAGGAAGAAAAAAAAAAAAAAGAAGGAAAAAATAATAATAAGAAGAAAAAAAACTTATATGTGAAGCTACCCCAGCAATCAGATCCCAGGTACACTCAAAGGTGCTGCTGGCATCCCTATGAAAATTTTCCCTGATGCCAGACCCCGATGCAAGCACAGCCAAGCTCTTCGCTCCCACACTGAGCATCAGCCGCTGTCTGACAGCAGAGCTGGTGCCCGGAGGAAAGGAGACAAGCTGCGAGCTGTGTGCCGAACAGAGTATAGGTCATCCTTCCTCGGCTTAGGCAGCGCAGACGCTCGCATGCCCTCATCTGCTCTCCATGGCCACACAGCTGTAACCAGCCAGGATGTTGCCAGCAACAACTCAACGGAGGCTCTTCTCTGGCTCAGTGCAGAAGAATCCTATCCGGAGCAGGCTGGAGCTGATCGAACATGAATCATTCGCCCCTTTTTAAAATGATTGCTTTCATGCTCTCTAGAGAGAGGGGGAAAAAAGGTAGCACAGAGATGGAGAAAAACAAAGGTCAAAGGAGAAATCTCTGAAGAGGAATGAACACTTACTTCTCCTCTCTATTCTCCAGGCACTACTCCAGCCCGAGCACTCAATACAGCAGCATCTTCTGCTGCAACATATTGCATTTCACCTCGCAGGTCAGCATAAAAATTCAGGCAAAAACCAAGCTTCCTCCTTAGCTACAGCAAACTAGAACATGGGCAAGAGGGCAGGAGGGTATCAGAAAAGCTTCTGGAAAGAAAGAACAGGCAAATCTCATTTGAAACCCTTCCAGAGATCCAGTGTCTCCTCTAAGGATTCTCTGGCCCTGTAATAAGAGGTTCAAAATGGCTCGGCATACTCATCCCTATCAGAAAAGTGGTAGAAGAGTACACCATTGGTTGGGCTTTCTGGAGAAAATCTTCACATAGCACATCTGAGAGACAGTCCCACGTGCAGCAGAACTGGCATTTGGTGTTTGCTGACTGTTGCTGGGTAGAAACTGGAGTGGCTGAATGCTGGTGTGGCTCCACGGTGCTCAACGGGATCAGCCCTATAAGCCAGATCTGTTCAAGAGAGGCTGTCAGATGGAAAGGGACCGCCAGGGTCATTGATTTGAGTCCCCTGCTATCATGTTGTATAACAGCATTCATAAAGTGCTCAAGCTCCTAATGGGGTCAATTAATACCAAATGACCTGTGAGCTGCTCCCTAATTGCACAAGGCAGTGATGAAGCAGGCTGCTCCTGCTGCAGCTCACCATTGGCTGTCGCATCACTCTCCATCGCACTTTCAGCTTAATGGTCCATAAACCCAATAAAAAGGGGAAGGCTTTGCTGAAACGTTACATATTTAGGGCTCCACTGAAGCAACAGTTCTGAATTCCGCATATGTGGCCCTGACAACCTGGCAGGCTGCATTCATGTGATTAAAACAACTGCTAATTCAAGAACTAAAATTAAAGGCTAGATTTCCCACTGGTATAATTCAGAATAGATTCACTGCCTTGCAGAGCTTTGATAGCTCAGGAGCATTCATGTTTTGCCAAGAGGGCTTTGCCAGACTGGTGGCTCCTAACTTCAAACTTACCAGAAACGAGGAAGCTCTGCTATCCTCAGAGGCAAAATCCCAACCCTCCGCCGACAGCAGGCTCTTTCCTCTGGAGAAGCTGCTCATTCCCATTTGATGCTGAATTCAAAAATTAGCTGAAGTCAGAAATGTCCAAATAAGAGGCAAAATTTGCCTGCTTTTAACTGAAAACAGATGGAAGGGATAAGGGATCTATGGTTTTATAGGGAATTTTAGCAGGGGCTAACAGTGGAAGGAAAGAGCACGGACAGCATCTGACCCAATGAGACCAGCCCTGTGCCAACAGCCCGATTCCTGAGCACAACAGGAGCAAAAAGCAGCAGCCTTCAGTGCTGTCTCCTAACCCATGCCCACCACACAAGGAGAATTTATGAGAGCCTGAGAAAGCCTGGAAGTTTATGGTCCAGCAAGATCATTAGACAAAGGTCACCTCGGAAACACTCCCCTGCAGGTTTTCATGAGGTCTCCGAAACAGGCACCTCTCTGTGCATTCACATTTTAATTGCCTCTTAAGGGAAGGAAGCACCAGGCTGAATCTGCTGTTGCTCCACACCAATTGTAAATGCCACTACATCCGTCTGAAGGTTTGCACGATAGCAGGATCCGGCTCTGCCTAATGGCCTGGTGCTCTGGCAATCCAGAAGAGGGCAAGGCCAATTTCTGCAGCGGTGTTTACCTATCTATAACATCATGTACAGAAAGGAGGCGGCAAAAAAGAAATTAGTATTTGTCATTTTCAGAGACAGCTGTGAAATTACTGTGCGGGAGATTTAAGCCCACAAAGGAGACAGCTCCTTGTACAGCGTGTAATTAAAAATCGCAGGACTCTGCCACAGAGTACAACAAGATTAATATGCTCAGACCCTGCAGGCAGCCACAACTGGACCTGTCAAACACAATGGACCAGCTGTACCCTCTGGCTCACAAGGTCCCCACCTTTCTGACCACTGGGAATGGCCCAGAGGGGAGAGCTCGCCCTCAGCTTGGTCCTTGTGCTCTAACCCTCTGTTATCAGCAGCTGCTGTGGCAGAATAACAAGTAAGGTAGATTTTGGGGTCTGGTCCCATATGGCTGTTCTCATGTCAGGGATGAAGATTTTGTTATTTCTGAATGTGGACCCAAACTGGCTTTTCTTAGAGGAGAGGAGAGCCTCAGCAGCCACACCTGATGCAGTTTCCCCCAGCAATATTGCACCAGCAATATCCACTGTACTCACTGCATCTCAGCAGGGATAGTTCATACTTCTACTCTGCTCTCTCATCATGTATACCACTGTCTTCATGACCTAAAGCATCTAGGCCTGCTGTTCCCAGATGCTCCCATCCCTATGCTTACCCACAGCCCTTCAGAGCAGGGGCCTCTCGTTTGCCTTTGTGGTGTGCTGGACAGTGTGGGACCCTCATCCCAAGCTCTTGAATGCTGATGCAATCTAAGTGCTTCATTTAGGATTCAAATTCCTGCTCTGCTACAGACTCATGGTTTAGCAATGGCTTGTCCATCTGGAGACTGTAGCATAATAATATCTTTATTTCTCTTTAGGCTTGGCCCTGGCATCTCAGCTAGACAGTCAGCTGGAACCACCAGCCCAACTTCCAGTCTCATTAAAGCTTCGCATCTATCCTCTGCTCAGATGACCTACTTCCACTGCATTTATTTAAACAATCCAGAAAACAGTATTCCTCTTCACACAAACAAATGAAAGGCTTCCAGATATTCAAACAAGTTTCTCCTTCCTAAGAAGCCCTCTGAAAATACCAAGAGTTGAAGTAAATTAGCAGACAGTGTCCTTGTGTCCCTATTTGTTGGGGAAACATCTGTGCAAGCAGTCGCCCTGTTACACAAACAGTACAGTAATTTTTCATGAAGCTTTCTCAAACAGGAGGAAATTAGCAGGTCAGTTATCAGCAAGGGGCAAATAATTTTAATTACCTTGCAGAGAGATTATGTCTCCTGTGTTTAATTCTCAAAGGCTCCCACTGACAAACTAATTAGCGAGGAGCTTCATTTGAAGAGCAGGCCTGAAGTTATGTGGCTTTATTCTCCCAGCTCACAGGCACACAGTTCATTCTCCTCTGTCACGTCGTGGTCCTCTCTGCCAGATCAGGCCAAAGGAGAGTTGGTCTGGAAAACACAAAAATGCACAGCATGCCCAGCAGCAGCTCTGCCCCACGGTCCAGAGACCTCAGTGTTAGGGCTTCTTCACAAGAAATGCTGGTAGAAGTGCTGTTGGCTCCTCAAACTGGAATCAGAGGATACATTACATATTATACATTATATATTACATATTATATTTGGTTTTATCTTCCCCTTCATCTCCAAGAAGACACAAATACATTTAATTAGCATTTGGGCTGCTAGGATAGTTAACAGCCTTGAGGGAGTAGGAGTCGTGATAGTGAGGTCCTGATCCAACAAAGCACTTAGAGGTGGTGGGTTTTTTGTTTGTTTAGTTGTTGTTTATTTATTTATTTATTTATTTTTGTATCCACATTGGCTTGTTGATTTCAGTGTGACTTCTCACAAGCCTTAAACATCACATGAACAATGACCTGCCCTTCCACAAGCTTTTGATAATGAAGAAGTTTCCTCTTCTGAGCAGATACCAGTGCCTGGTTGAAACTCAGGCAACACCAGAACTGACTGCAAGCGTGCTCTCAGCCTGCACAAGGTGCAAATATGTTCATTTCACTCGTCCTTACAGGGAAAAGTACCCACCTGCTGATTTAAACCATCATAATCTATTTCCCAGTGAAGGCAGGCTGAGCTAGTTACTGCGGGTAAAATGATGGATTATAGCTTTCCACACCTTAACAATTTTATTATTTTCAATGGTTTTCCTGTTCAAGCTGTCCCTGTGTATGGGGCCCAAATCCCCTTCGAAACAGATTTAATGTAGCTCTGTGGGCCAACAAGAGGAGATTTAATTTGTGCCTGTTACATCCACCGGATGGTCAACTTGCAGCATGCCAGAGCACAAGAGCCACTAATTACCAGCAGCATAAATCGCAATACTCCAGCCAGTTTCAATTCCTGGAAAATCTAGCTTTGAGGAATGTCAGACTCAGCATTGTCACCAGATGGTGTTTCTCTCTGAAGAAGACATGTCCTTGATCAGTCCATCACTGCTTAAGGCGCTACTGCTCTTGTTTTTCACCCCATGTTCTTCGCCCAAGGGCTCTTTCCACAGCAACACAGCGATGATTAAGAGCTGGAAACACAGGCAGTGCTGAAAAGCAATTGATGTCCCTTCAAAATGTTTTACACCTTGGACACGGGTATGATCTCTTGTAAGTTTTTCTAGTTTGCAAAAATTCTTGGGTCCCTCACAGCTCAATCTGCTGTACAGCAATGGAAAGGTTCACAAGGTGAGCCCTTAACTCTTCAGAGCAGCAGAATAAACAAGACTTCTGTGAAAATTAAAGGTCACAGTTGGTAGTCCTTATTTGTCTTGTGTGAAAGTCTGGAAACCTTTTCAGTGTGTGTCCTGCCTCCTTAACAGCAGAGTGCATTAAGAAATGGGCCATTTGGATCCTTTCCTTTTGTACTTTAGGCAGAACCTGCATCACTTCATGAAAGCTGCTGCAGTGACTCCAGCAAGCTTTAACAAGGTCTGTAGGATGCTGCCTCGTGAATATTTACCCTCTGGTAGAGAGCAGATGTCCGCAGACTCCATATGGGATATCACGTTACAACATGGCACAGCACAGATCATTAATCACATCCTTAAATGAAGTGATTATAAGGTCATCACGTCAAACATTTCCTAGCATCATGGTGTCTGCACAAGTTTTATCTTACATAGAGCCTGGGGAAGCATCTGGTCAAAACACTTGACTCCAACCCATTAGCTCAGCCGCAGAGCCTGTCTCATAACACACTCAATCTTTCTGCCTCTCAGCTCCTACAGCACCAACCCAGTGAAGAAAACCCACAGAGAAGAGGCTCTCCTCTCCCTCAGAGTATCTGCTGTCTGGACACATCCAGGTCCCAGACATAACAGATCAGAAGTGCTGTGTTTGCTTATGGCACATGTAGGCACGCACACACCCCACATCAAATCCCATAACTACCCACTGGTCTATACAGAGCAACTGCTTCTCACAGGTTTGAGATTAGGTGCATGTAATAGACATCTCTTTGCCTTCAAGAGCATGATCCAAAGGAAAAACGAATCCCTCTCAAAGGGAGAGCTGAAGAACCCCAAGACAAGCAAGTTTCAACTCCAGCCAAGAGCAGTCACCAGTGTTTGCCCTCCACACAACCCAATGTTTTCTTTTAAGAAACCAGCATGCAACAGATGCTTCTGCTCCACCATACTGTCCGCAGACTGATGCAATACATAAATCAGTGAATTTGGAGACATACCTCCCTTCTGGAGCACGCAATGCTGCAGGGACCTGCCAAGTCAGCAGGTGGGGGAGTAGGCGAATCCAGAGCAGTAACACCCAGAGGAGCACCAGCAGCCTGTAGCTCTGCCAGCAGATAAGGGGAGGCATTACTCACCCACTATAGCTGGGTAGGACAGCAGCTACAGAAAGGCATCCTTCTGTAGACAGGTTTTAATGTTAATTAGTTTTAAGAGTCACTGAAATTGTGCTGTTTCCTTTTCCCCATCCCACACACAGACAGCACTCAAGTAGGGAAAACCAACCGTCATCAAGACCCTGCTAACTCCCCCTCCACCCAGCAGACTGAATAAGACCAAGTAAGAAATTAAGCACAGGATTCACCTGTCATCAACACCATGATAATGTGAAATTCTGATTAAGTTTCACATAGTCTTTTAACAAGACTGGTGGAACTGAGAAACTCGAGTGTCATTACAAGTGACATTGGTTTAGAGGAGCATTTTCCTGGTGGACCCTCCAGTAACAATGGTCGGGGCAGAGCTGGACACCCCTTCTTCATCACCCTATCCACCACCACATCAACACACTTTCTGTAAGAGTTGCTTATATTTCACCATACTCCTTCTACAGGGATCAAGGACTGAAAGTGTGAGGTGATGCCTAAACACAGGGACATTATCTCGAAGGGATGTTACAGACGTAGCTCAAACCATGGATATTATCTCAAATAATATATCATTGATGTAATCTAATAGTAATATAACATGGAGGTTACCTCAAAGAGGGACAGGAGGATAGCAATGTGCACATTTGGCAGAGCAGAAAACTGAGGCACGGAGACTAAATCAGCTGAGGCTCATCCCAAGATGGCAATCACGACCTGCCTCCCCTGCCTTCTTGCTGCCACACAGTCTGGGATGCACAGGGAGAGGTATTCTGGGGGTTTGTGTCACCCAGAGACACAGCACAACCACAAGGCTGCTGTGAGCATCCCACCCCACCGCCCAGGGGACCCACAGCCACCAGCTGAGCTCTCCATCCCTCAATGGTCTGCAGAAGATAAGGGCTTCACTGTTCTCCTCACTAAATCATTTGTAAAAAAATGAATGAGGACACTTAACCTGTCTGTGTGAGGAGTCACGGTTTGCCTATTCCTCAGGCAATAGAAGCAGTGCCTAGAATTATTCACCACTTTTATAAGCAAATAGGAAAAAGCAGCATGTGTATCCAACACCTTGAGGACCAAACTGTGCCGTAAGCAGAGCAGCAGCTGGCTCTGCTGGGGCTGGGGGAGGTGGTTAGCAAAGCAGCAAGGTGCTGGGCAAGGATCTGCAGGACTAATAAAGCCAGGGCTGAGCTGCAACAATTTTCCGTGGCCCAGCAAGAGAGAGACTGCCCCGAAGATGCCACAGCTTGCTGGATGTAGGCTGAATTCACCAGCTGTTTTCTGAGAAGCCTGTGATGCAGACAACATGATTAAGGAAGGGAAAGACAAATAAACCCAGAGACAGCTTGGACTGGCGTTTCTGTGGTGGTCTGAAAGGAGGAAAATGGTCACCGCTAACCACAAGGTTCCCCCCATGCTCTCACATATACTCATTTATTTAATTTTAAAAGGATAGGTGGTTGCTGGGGGTATGGAAGCATTTCCCCTGCTGCCTGGTCAGATGAGAATTGGATTTTCCCTACCTCAGAGAGAGGGATTGGGCACCAGGGGTTCTACTTACTGCTCATTTACACTGCTGCTAATTGCAGCCTGGCCACGCAGCCTCTGCCCAGCCAGCAGGGAGTGTAACTCCACCAAAGCAACCCTTTTCTTAACAGCCGTCCCTGCGTTCCCTGCAGATCTGGATTTCTCAGCTCTTCTCAGGATCTGGGAAAGCTGTTCACAAGCGACCAACAGACAGCATCACCTCGCAGCAGCCCTCGGCTAAGCCGCAGCCACTAACTACACACACGCTCACATCCCCTTCCAGTTAGGAACTGGGCTGTGTCAGCAGCCCCACATCATTTCACTACAACTGCAGCAGGCTGGGTACATGCGCAGAGCCAGCTCTCCAGATCCAGCTAATGAGGAACACCTCATTAAATACCTCGGGGAGAGGTTCCAGCTATCGTGTTTTCCCTTCACAGCCACTGCTGGAAGGAGCCCACTCACACCCGCTGCCCATTACATGCAGCCACTTGATGACTTGCTGCATCTGTCAGCATTTAAGTCATTAAGAGATTTCTAGCCATCACCTTGCTGTTATCTTTCTCCTGGTATTTCCTCCAATTAAATTATTGGGGGTGCCTCCTGTAAGTGCCCACAGCCTGCCCCCTCTCCTACCCAGCAGTTGGGCTGCTACAACAGAAACCAACACCAGGGAAACAGCTCATCAGCCAGCCGGAGCATCTTCTCTAGAGCCTCTCTCCTCCTTACAAGCTCCACATCTTCTCTGTCTCCAGGCTTTCACCATCAGCTCGCCCAGGAGCAGCTGATCTGTAATTTATGCTTTTGCAGTGAATTTCCCTCCCAGGGAGTGCAACCGAAACCAGCTACAGGGTGAGCCCTGTCCCTCTGCTCTCAGCACCCCGGGGTGCAGGAGGAGGGCAGGCTCAGTTGGGCGTTTGTCACATTTAACCCCATTTTGTAAAGATCGGAGGGAAACACTCCCCCCATCCCTATCTCACCTGGGAGAAACCTGCTGGCTCCTCTGCTTTTCTGAATGGGTGTAATCAATGCAGGGAGGGTTGAAAATGTGCTTGTACTGGCCTTGGAGATTTTCTGCTCGCTGCTGGGGACTGCACAACACCTACTCATCTCAGCGGGAAGTGGTTGATGCCTCACGGAAAGAACAAGAGGCCGAAACGCTGAATGCGAGCATTTCTTTCACAGTTCTGTGTGCAACGGGAGCTTATTCCTCATTCAGTGACATAGAATCCAGCTTCTGGGGAGGCGGAGTAAATCAATGATTAATTTAAAGTAATTTATACCTTTTAACCATTCAAGTCTATTTTCCTGGCTTGAGATCCACAAGCACTCTGGATCAATGCCTGGAAATCCATGACTATTTCAGGTGTGGCCATTTGTCCTCTGGGCACAGCTATAGCCTTGTGACTAAAGAAACAGCCCGAGTGCTTTTTTCTGGTCTTTCACATCCAGTTTATTCATTTGTTTCCTCCAGAGATCACCCAGCAGGGCTGGATTGTGCTGTCCCAGTCTGGAGCTCTTTAACCTTCAGTAACTCGTGTTAGGTGTTATTGATGGTTTGGGTGTCACGTAGCACCTTACATATGACACAGCCCCCTGCACCTTGCTCACCCCTTCCACAAAACACAATTAATTACATTTTGAGCCTCTTTAGCTCATCTGCTCAGCCATAAACTCTCCTGCTCTGCACCTTGCTTCAAGCCTCCCGTCATCTGAATGACCAGAGAAACAGAAAAGGCAGCCGAGGGACTGAGCTGACATCAAGCCCGTTTTATAGGCAACATAAAGCTGTCTCCAATACTCAAGTGGCAGAAGTGTTTGTGTCAGGAGGGAGTAGCAGAAGAAAGCAGGACTTGTCTGCGGGAGAAATAAAAATAAAAAATTTAATGCAATTAAATTCCCCCAGATAGCACTTGGCTATCTGGTTATATCACAAGTGACATTTTTGTTAGAAAGCATTAATAAAACCTGCTGTATAATCCAGGAGGATGCAGAGGAATCATTACACAGGAATTGATGGGTCTGCTGCAAAGTTTTATTCTCTCAGTGCTGAGGCTCACTTCCAGAAGCCAGGATCTGGGGTGGACTGGAAGCTCTCCCTGCTCTCCAGAGCAGGCAGGAAGGGAAAAACTGGGGAAGAGAAGAATCTTTTAGGGTGTCAGAAATCTCCATAGGATTTTGCTCCATGCCAGTAAGTTATCAGAGCATCTGAATTGGTTTCTGGTACCCCTGAGGCCAGGGTTTGCTGTGCTGGTTTGTGATGGGGAGATGCTCCGAGCCTCCTCCTCACGGTGCCTGCCCACACCGCGGCTGCATCCAGCCCTGCGAGGCGTCCAGCCGAAATGACGGAAAGAAAGTCATTGTAAAGGATGGAGAAAAATAGTTGGCAGCTTCTTGTAGAGCTACTCAAGAATTAAATGCCCTGACCTCTTAGTGGAAGTGCCAGCAAACACATCTTCTGCTTGTTATTGTTCCTTTCCCATTTGCTTTTAATTTGCTCAACCTGTAATTTGTTAAACGGGCTGCCCAGAAGATACCATCTCAGAGCTGGTTATTATGCAGGTGCTGCTTTTATCCTGGAGCAGAGAGAAACATATCAACATCAAGACTGGGGACGCAGCCAGGAAAGCTGCTGATTTCACTGAGAAAATACTAAACATAAATTGTGTCCTGCGTCTGTCCTGTAACACTTTAAGCTCCTTACAACAAAAGCATTAAAAGAAAAAAAAAAAAAAAAAACACAGTGTAATGAGGACATTATGTGGACTAAAGATGAAAGTCTCCAGGAATAATACAGGCATAGATCATACTGGGAACTCACAAAGGAAGCCAGAAAAACCAACCCACACTGGAGAGGCCACATTTCAAGGCAGGGAGCTGTCTCTCTGTGCTGTGTTTGCAGCATGGCACTGGATATTTCCATTCCTTGAGTGGAGATGTGAGCAGCAGAGCTGGTCAGAAATCTTCCAAAGCCTTGGTTCACCAAGAAAGGCATACAGAACTTCATCCAAAACATCTCAGGTTCCGTGAATCTAATCTGATTTTCTTGCAAAAGCTTTGATGCCTGCTTTGCTCCTAGATTGACCAGGGACTGGCACCAGGTCCCATAGCCTGCTGACATACGGATTAAGCAGGGCTGAGCTCCCAGCAGAGACCTTGGTGCCTTGGGGCTCCTACAGAGATCCCACAGAGCCTGGGGCCTGTGCAGTATGTCAGGCCAGAGCCACGGATCCTCAAAGCCTGCTGCAGCAACTGGAAGAAACTGGAGTCACTGCAAAACGCGCTGACATCCCAGAGCAGCTGGCCTGACAGCACCTAGCTCACACGAAAACACAACTACATCCCACAGAAAAAGAATAAAATAAAAATGATTTTTTAGCCTGTTTACATACTTAAGGACACCTACAATCCCCAAATATAAATTACAAAGGATATTTGCCTGCCTAAATGTTTTGTTACAGAAGGAAAGCGCCAAGACTTAGAGCAGAACAGCCTTCAGTTTATTTAGAAGAGGAATACACAATGAGGTATCAGCTTCTAACACCTGCTAAAGCCTTATTTGCCCTGCAGAGCAGCTGTGGACACCTGGAAATGTTAGGAGTTAAACACCTGAGGGTGGCTCATTCAGTGGGGAAGCACAGGAGGATGACTTCAGTTGGCCAAACCACCCCAGGCTCCCACTTTCTCCGGTCTTCCTTTGCTCTCTGCAAAATTTGCTTGGGTAGGCAGCATTACTGCCAGGCAAGCTGTATTTTAGGCCCTTCTCAAAATGCTCTCGGTGGCTCTTTTTGCTTCTGTTTGGAGCCGAGCTCTGTGGTGCCAGCACTGCAGGGCCCCACCGCCCGCCGAGTTAATGTACCCAGCCCTGCTGCGTGAGGCACTCACACAGGTCTTCTGGGTCCGGCCGAGGACAAACGCCAGTTCCAGAAGCAATTTCTGTCAAACACCACGCTGTTCAGCTCACCCAGAGGTGTACCCGCAGAAAACAAAGCAGGAAAGGAAACACATGGCCTGCATGCAAGCCCTTTACACCAACAGCCTTCACACCTACAGCCTTCTTTAACCCAGCACGGGGCTCCTTCCTCCACTCCACATGTAGTCACCACCATCCCACATCTTCTGGGCTGCAAGAGCAGAGCAAGGCTGTCTGGGGACATGTACCACTTGGGTGAGGAAGACTTCATGACATTTTTGGGGGAAGACCTTGCACTGGAAAGCAGAAGATGATGGAAATGGATAATCATCACCTGCTGGACCGTTTGGTCACTGATTCAGTAGACAGGAGCTCTTCCCAGGATTGTAGCTGACACTTCCCCCCCAGGAAGCTCAGACTTTCCAAGTGATTATTTCAGGATGAAGATTAGCTGCTGGTTCTCTCTATAAGTCTTGTAAGAGCAGTGTGACCCGGTGTTTTTCACCCCCTCTCCTCCTGTTTTCATCTGTCGGAGGAAGCAAACATCAGCTCTCTGAGGCCAGACAACTTCTCCTCGGGTTTCACCACCAACTAATTATTACAAAGGGATAGGAAATAGAAACCAGCCTGGGATCATACCAGACGTGGGCTAGGAAAATTCTCAAGTTCATCTTCTGTGGTTAAGCTGCCTATTATGTGCTGAATGAGAGAGATGATTAAAGATGGTTGTTATTGCAGTTCAGAGCCAACAGAGACAGCTTGTACTAGGAAGGAAGCACAACACATTGTGCCTGAGAAAGCCCACTGTAAGCATTAGATTACATTTGCTTGGAAAAGTATCAGGCAGAAAGATCGAACGACTCAAATCTTTGGGCCACTGAAGAGCACCACACAAAGGGAAAGTTGAATGCTGTTCAAATCAGGCAAGATTAGGCACTGAGACAGGCGGTGGGGCTGCACTGTCCTCCAGGCACTGCAAACCACTTCTGCTGTAGGAAACGTAGCAATGGGCAGGGTAAAATAACATGTAGGATAACTAAAATCTTTTGCCACCTGCTCCTTTGCTTTGTTTGAGCATGACGAATGTCTGCATCCCACATTTGGGACTTGCAGACCCACTGGGGTGGGCACGACTGGGGTCCCACTGTGCTCAGAGCAAATCCATCAGCTCTTCACAGCATGATCAAACCCAGACAAAGGATGCGGGCAGGCCACTGGGATGTGCCACCAGAGAAATCCTTCTGGCCCCCTTTTACAGAAGGGATCTGGAGCATGTTGAGATGAAGTGGCCTGTTTGGGATCGCACCACAATACTGTTGTAGGGCTGAGGACTGAACTGCTCTTTTTTTCTACCACTCTCCCTCAACCAGATAATGCTGATAATGTCTGTAGTGAAACATATACCAAAAGAAGGCAGATTTATCTCAATCTATAGCTTGTAAAGACACAATGCAGTTATTGTATCTAACAACATATAAAAATGCATGCACTGATCCTCTTAACGTACAAAGCTCACTTCGGGGCAGCAGGACAGTCTTCTCAAAGCCCTCTCCAGATCTGAAATCTATTATTTCCACTCTTCCTTAAGGCAGCAGCTGGAAGGGAGCTGGGCAGGTTTTCTTTATCTAATGGGACAAAGATGCAGCAGTGATGCCAAGGTCAGGTGCTGGAGAGAGGCAAACAGGAGCAATGCTGCCCCGCACAGAGCACACCTATCTTCCTTTCTGCATCAGTTTTTGCTAATTTTATAAATGATTTTTTAAGGAAGAGGCGTTTTCTTTCAGGGCTTGCTAGAAAGCCCCTGTACTCGTTCTTCCTTTTGCCTCAAGTTTCAAGATGCTCAGAGCAGGAGGGGCTGTGGCTCTGTAATTGCTCATGGGCCTCACAGCCAGTTTGGGAGGGAGGCTGCGGTTATATAAGTTTTTGAACAAGCAGGCTGCTAAGCAGAGAGGAAGAAATTAGCTTGCTGAAGGAAGGACAACACTTGGCTACTGTCAAGTGAATCTAGATAGAAAATGAGGATGTTTAGCGAGGCCAGACCGGGACTGTTCTGCGAGTGCTCACTGCTAACACAACCAAGGTGACTGCATTAATACAAGACAAAAGCTGGCACAGGTACTCCTGCATTTCTTACCATCGCCATCCCACGACAGCTGCTTTGGTCACAAGCCATAAAGCAGAAGAGACAATGCTTTCTGCAGCCCCCACAAGGAGACATCCAGAACTCCGCATTATTGCAGGAGTCCTTAACAGCCCAGAAATAGAGCACTTGTGTTGAGAGACAGCCCGTCCCTCCCACTTACACCGCCAGCAGCTGCCCTCTCCTAGCCACAGCAAGAGCTCTGCAGAAGAAAGGACCTTGCCCCTTCAGAGCTGGTGCCTCGTGTTAGCTGCTAGCAGTGGCGCCCTGGAGACTGGAAAGGAGGAAGCGAGAACGAAACAGCAGAGTGAGAGCTTTATGAAAGCACCAGAATGCTGAGAGCCAGGAAACGCACCGCAGGGCTCCCCAGGAACTGCATGTGGGTTTGAGGCAAGCAGCAGGGACTGAGCGAGCTCGATGAACAGCCCTGTTCATCCTTGGAGCTAGAAAGGTTCTCCTACAGTCCAAGACTCTTCCAGAACCACACAGAGGAGCACATCTTCATTACTGACAGTGATTTGTTACAGTCAGGCTGGAATAGTGACAATCCCATAGTGTTAGGCTACGTGAAAACAAAAGCTAAGATCCTGAATACTGGATGTACCACAAAAAGCAAGGACACAGGAAAAACAGTTATTTTATTTTCTTCCTTGAAACTGGAGGTAAACTGAGGCAGAGAGAGGTTCCAGGACACGTGTCTGTTGTCATGGTTCAAGTTAGGGATGCTAGAGAAAGCAAACGTATTTCAAAGGTCAAAATCTGTAGGGAATTAGTCTGAAAAGGAGGAATATTTCTTTCAATGAATAAATTTTTAAATAACATTTTTACATATTATATATTGCTATATTTCAGGAATAACAGCACGCATGATCACATATTGCAGACTTGGCCCCTTTCAGACCTCCAGCTTCTATCTGGAAGCAAAACAATGGGGGAAAAAAATCTGTATTCCTCTCCATAAACATTCACACAAACAGCAGCACTACTTTAATTAATATAATTAGCAGTCATAATATATTTGTTCTTACAGCTGTGACAGCACTGATGCCTCACACTACACCAGTGTCTCTCCAGCGTGAGCTGGGATGTCTGTCCTCTTCCAGCACATTAAGCCGCTGCCACAAAGCAAGCTTTTCCTGACAGGTTGGCCATAAGAAACTAAAGACTTCATAGGATTTGGTGTTTGATGAGAGCCTGTGGCTTTTTGTCCCAGCTTTAGAAAGAGAATAATTAGACCCAGTGAATCCAGTCCTGATGGCACTGGTGAGAAGCTCCAAGCTGGTTGAAGCTCCCTGAACTGGACAAGCATGCGCTGAAGTGTGCATTGCTGGAGAAGAAGGCAAGAAACCCCGAGCTGTGCTTCCAGCTGTGAGATCTGGGGTTTGCTGTCAGGCAGGCTCGTGAACTGCTGCACACATCAGCATGGAGATCTCTCTGTCATGGGCAGAGGACAGAGATTGATTTTTACAAGCAAGTTAGACACAGAGGGAAAGGGAAATAAAGAAACTTAAAAATATATATATTTTAAAAATAAATTTTTATTCTCCAGTTCCAAAGTCTACTGTTTGTTTAGTCTATAGCTGAGCTAGGTGTTCAATGTTCTCGAGGTAAGCAGGTTCTTCTGGAGCTGGGGACCTTTAATACACTTCTTTGGGAGAACTAGACAAAAAGTGGCAGGGAACGGAGTGATTAAGTAATGACATGAGATGTTGTACTGTCAGATGCAACCTTGAGACTGGTGATAACTGTGGAATAAATTCTGAGAAGGGACCAAGGAGGTATTTTGCCAGATGACATGGATGCGTGCCTAATGGGCAAGAATCAGAAAGACATATTATCCCTGCAATGTACACAGACACATAGCAGTAATCATTAACTGCAGTCAAGTGCATTATCTCTTCATGTGCTCTGTTCCTGCAGACCTGATAATTTGTCTCATCCTACACCTTAAAAGATCTGATAGCTGGGAGATATAATGAGTGAGATCTTACACCACAAGACATCGTTAGATTGCCTACAGCAACTCAAGACTGTTTCTTTTTCTTCAATACAAGGCGGAAACATTTAAAACCTTGATGTACATCATGAAAACAAATGAGCCAAGACAGCCCAGCAAATCTGACAGTTACTCTCTTTTGCATGTTTAGCTAGTACATCTCTCACAGCCTCCGTATCCCCCATACCAGACTTTTTTCATTGTCTTTCTGCTCGTTTGCTTAAGAAAGAAACTAAAATGAAGATGAGATTGCTTCTACCAAGAGATGGTGGCAACAGCTCCGAAGCTCTTGTGAATTAGAGAAAGTTGAAGAGGATCAGCCTGCTGAATGGAAACCGAGATATCACTTGGTGTCATCAGAGGACCTCCTGGGAAGAGCTGAACCCTGCGTGTCCCCAAAAATTAAGAGTGTAAAT